CCGAGCATTGGGGGCTCACACCTCTAATCCTGGCACTTTTAAAGGCTGAGGTGGGTGGATCACTTGAGGTCAGGAGTTGAAGACCAGCCTTGCCAACGTGGTGAAACTCCATCTCTACTAAAAATACAAAAATTAGCCAGGTGTGGCGGGCACCTGTAATCCCAGCTACTCTGGAGGCTGAGGCAGGAGAATCGTGAAGCCGGGAGGCGGACCTTACAGTGAGCCGAGATCGCGCCATCGCACTCCAGCCTGGACTAGTGACAGAGTAAGACTCCGTCTCAAAACAAAACAAAAAGCAAAAACAAAGTGAGCCAACTAGAAAAAGGTACGCCTTTCTCCATAATGATACAGCCCCACTTAGGTATTTCAGACCTGGATTTTTTTTTTTTTTTTTTTTTTTTTGAAACAGAGTCTGGCTCTGTCGCCTAGGCTGGAGTGCAGTGGCCGGATCTCGGCTCACTGCAAGCTCCGCCTCCCGGGTTTACGCCATTCTCCAGCCTCAGCCTCCTGAGTAGCTGGGACTACAGGCGCCCGCCACCTCGCCCGGCTAGTTTTTTGTATTTTTTAGTAGAGACGGGGTTTCACCGTGTTAGCCAGGATGGTCTCGATCTCCTGACCTCGTGATCCACCCGTCTCGGCCTCCCAAAGTGCTGGGATTACAGGCTTGAGCCACCGCGCCCGGCCCAGACCTGGATTTTAACCAAAGGCAACAGCTCTGCTCCCATTCTGCCTCTGACCAAGGATCTTGTTCTCCTGCTTTAACTTGCATTTCTCTCCCACCCGTCTTTCTCCCCTTTCTAAAAAGTGTTGTGCCTACCCCCTCTCCTCCCCAGATGGTGGCAGAGGCAGGCATTGGCCCCTGAAGTTGCCAGCCCTTACTTGCCCTATGCCTCAAGCTCTGGGGTTTGCTGAAGCATTCTATTTAGTTGTGTACCATTGTGGTTTCGTAGGCCTGGGAAAACTTTTTGGCCCTGCTCGCTTCAGTTCAGTTCAGGTGCCCACCATCATGGTTCTTTGAGACGTCCTCTAAGTGACCATTCTGTATTGTCCAACATGAGTAACCACTGTTTTCTTCTGAAAGTTCTGTGCCCTTGTCTTTGCAGAAGTTCATCTACCCTATCCACCTATTTCTGAATGTGGTTTTTGTTTGGGTTTAGTCCAGGACCCCTCTCACCCCACCCCGATGGGTGTTACTCATGTAGACTTAGCTGTCATCTTCACATTCGACATAGTTCCTTTGTGTGCTCAGTCCTGTACAAGGAGCCCCTCACTCCACAATTAGAGATGAGACTTAAAAGCTGAATGTTCCTACCACTTCATATCTTCTAAAACGGCCTTAATTTAAAAACAAAAGAATATAGCAAGTGTTGGCAAGGATGTGAGAAATTGGAACACTGTATATTGCTGATGGGAATATAAAAATGCTGCTGTGGGAAAATGTTTGGTTGTTCCTTAAAAAGTTAAAATGGAATTAGTACACCAGCCAGTGCCTTAGTCCGTTCATGCTGCTATAACAAAACATCTTAGACTGGGTAATTTATAATAACAAAAATTCATTTCTTACAGTTCTAGAGGCTGGAAGGTCCAAGATCAAGGTGCCAGCAGGTTGGGGGTCTGGCAAGGGCTCCCTGCTTCAAAGACGGAGTATATGCTACACTCTCATATGGTAGGAAGGGTGAATACCTCCATCAGACCTCTGTTAGAAGAGCACTAATCCAATTTAACACCTCCAAAGGCCTCACCTCTTAGTACAGTTGTGTGATGGGGATACGTTCTGAGAAATGTATTGTCAGGAGATTTTGTCATTCTATAATATTATAGACCATATTTACACAAACCTAGATGGTATAGCTTTGTACACACCCAGGCTATGTGGTATGGCCTATTGCTCATGTGCTGTAAACCTGTACAACATGTTACTGTACTGGACACTGTAGGCAACTGTAACACAACAGTAAATATTTGTGTATTTAAGCCTATCTAAACCTGGAAAAATGTGGCATAAAAGCTCCATTATAATATGGGTCCACTGTCATATATGTGGCTCATCGTTGACTGAAATGTCATTATGTGGCAAATAATGATACTGTCATATTGATGATTAAGTTTTAACATGTGAATTTTGTGTGTGGGGGTGACACATTCAAACCATAGTACCCAGCAACCATTAATGTATGAATAGATAGACTAAATGTAGTATATCCTTTAAATGGAATGTTATTCAGCCATAAAGAAGAATAAGGTACTGGTACATGCTGTAATATGGATGAACCTTAAAAACATTATGCTAAGTGAAAAAATAAGCTAGATACAAAAGGTCATATATTGTATGATTCCACTTATGTTATGTGAAATATTTAGAACAGGTAAAATCATAGAGACAAAAGGCAGATTGGTGGTTGTCAGGGGCTGAGAGAGGGAGAAATGAGGAGTGACTGCTTAATGTGAATAGTGTTTCTTTTTGGGGTGATGAAAACATTTTGGAACTAGATAGAGGTGATGGTTGCCCATTATGAAGGTACTAAATGCCACTGAATTGTACACTTTAAAATGGTTAGCTTTATGGTATGTGAATTTCACCTCAATTTTTTAAAGTTCAGGAAAAAAAAAAAAGGCTATGAGTCTGTGAAACAAAAAACCCCAAAATCAACCAAACAAAAAGTAAGTTACAAAAATTAGGGATGAGGGCCGGACGTGGTGGCTCATGCCTGTAATCCCAGCGCTTTGGGAGGCCGAGGCGGGCGGATCACAAGGTCAGGAGATCGAGACCATCCTGGTTAACATGGTGAAACCCCGTCTCTACTAAAAATACAAAAAAAATTAGCTGGGTGTGGTGGCAGGCACCTGTAGTCCCAGCTACTCGGAAGGCTGAGGCAGGAGAATGGTGTGAACCTGGGAGGCAGAGCTTGCAGTGAGCTGAGATGTGCCACTGCACTCCAGCCTGGGCAACAGAGCGAGACTCCGTCTCAAAAAAAAAAAAAAAAATTAGGGAGGAGGTTCCAATATGACAGTCACTGGCCACATGTAGCTGACTGTTGAGCACAGGAAATGTGTCTAGCCCAAACTGAGGCTTGTGAAATTTACACTGATCTTCAAGGCTTTCATGTGAACAAAATAATGTAAACTAGGCTGGGCGCAGTGATAAACTAAACTGGGCGTGGTGACTCATGCCTATAATCCCAGCATTTTGGGAGGCTGAGGCAGGAGAATTGCTTGAGGCCAAGAGTGTGAGATCAGCTTGGGCAACATAGTGAGACCCCCATCTCTACCAAAAAAAAAGGTAATAATAATAAATAAAGTCAGGCATGGTGGTACATGCCTGTAATCCTGGCTATTCAAGAGGCTGAGACAGGAGGCTCCCTTAAGCCTGGAAGTTGGAGGCTGCAGCGAGCTGATCCCGCCACTGCACTCTAGCCTGGTTGACAGAGTAATACCCTGTCTCTAAGGAAAAAAAAAAAAGGAAACTATCTCATTAATGATATTTAATAGTGATTACATGTTCAAATGACAATATTTTGAGTACACTGCATTAAATAAGATAGATTATTAAAATTTTTAAAAAGTTGAATGCCCATGGAGACATAACAGAGAGGCTTAAATCCATACCAAAGTCTGCAAGATAAAATGATACCATTTTAAAGCTGGGAAGAAACTTTCAAATATAATCTTTACTTAAAAATAAGTTTTGGTTAGAATGAGAAAGCTGACAAAGGGCGACTAAGGGGGAAACTAGAAAGAGTCCTCACTTTGTGTAGGCCCAGGGGAAAAGTCTAGCCTGGCTGGGGAGGATTATTGGGAGCTGGACAATGTCTAGTCTTTTTGATGCCGTCATTAAACTTTTTTTTTTTTTTTTTTTTTTTTACCTTATTTAATGCAGACTTTATCTTTAAAAACACAAATGCGAGTGGGCACAGTGGCTCACGCCTATAATCCCAGCGCTTTGGGAGGCCTGAAGCAAGTGGATCACCTGAGGTCAGGAGTTTGAGACCAGCCTGGCCAACATGGTGAAACCCCGTCTCTACTAAAAATACAAAAATTAGCTGGGTGTGGTGGTGAGTGCCTGTAATCCCAGCTACTCGGGAGGCTGAGGCAGAATAATTGCTTGAACCCGGGAGGCGGAGGTTGCAGTGAGCTGAGATCGCACCAGAGAACTCCAGCCTGGGCTATAAGAAACAAACTCTGTCTCAAAAATAAAAAAATAAAAAAATAAAAAAAAAATGCAGCCAGGCATGGTGGCATGTGCCTAGTCCCAGCTACTTGGGAGGCTGTGGTGGGAGGATCACTTCAGCCCAGCCTGGACAGCATAGCTAGACCAAGTCTCTTAAAAAAAGATTGTGAAAAAAAAGTAAGTGCAAGTAAATTAGAATGATTCATAATTAACATTGCAATGAGAATTACTGGTTCATTGAATCAAGAGGAGCTTGGGCAGCTTTCATAGACTGCAGTGCTTTTATAGTTACTCCTATGATCAAAGAAGCAGCGGGGAGCCCCTTAAATGGTCATTTTAAAAGTTTTAAGTTCTCCTGATTGTGTATCTATAGTCAAAAAAAGTGTAAGAGGCTGGGTGTGGTGGCTCATACCTGCAATCCCAGCACGTTGGGAGGCTGAGGCAGGCAGATCACCTGAGGTCAGGAGTTCAAGACCAGCCTGGCCAATATGGTGAAACCTTGTCTTACTAAAAATACAAAAATTAGCCAGGCATGGTGGTGGGTGCCTGTAGTCCTAGCTACTCGGGAGGCTGAGGCAGGAGAATTGCTTGAACTCGGGAGGTAGAGGTTGCAGTGAGCTGAGATTGTGCCGCTGCACTTCAGCCTTCCAGCCTGGGTGACAGAGTGAGACTCCATCTCAAAGAAAAAAGAAAGAAAAAATGTGCAAGAGCTTAAACAAGATATATGACCACGTTTATCCCAGTTTGCAAGGACATACTTGGAAGAGGCCACTTTATTTTTTGCCTTTTTTGCTTAATTCTCATCTTTCTGTTTTACATTTTTTTCCTGCAGATCAGCAATGTCTTATTTTTCATTTTACCGCCCATCTGCATGTGCTTGTTTCGTCAGTATGCAACATGCTTCAACAGCGGCATCTACTTAATCTGGACTCTTTTAGTTGTAGTGGGTAAGTGGAGTCGTTTGGGAACACGGACTTAACAGGGTGTTGGGAGGGTAGAAGGAATCCCACACACTTCCTGTCCCCTTTGAACATAATGTTTAGTAAACTAAAGTCACTCTGAGGTCTTAGCATACTTTTTTTCCCACTTACTTGATGGCAAAAGGACTCTTGAATGCAGGCTTGATAACAAGCTTGGCATTACTATCACTTGCGTGCATTTGAGACTTCATTTGTGTAGTAGCTATTGGGGCTATGCCAGTGCAATTTTCGGAACGTCTGAAGAAAGTCTTATGAAACAATTGATCTCTGGGGAGACTGGTTTCTAATGGACTAAAGTTAAAGAAGAAAATGTAGATGTTTGATCCCTCATTGTTTTGTGAAATACTTGTGTCATTTCCATTTCCTCCCACAGGCAGGCTGGGAATTCTTAACAGTGAGGGACTGTTGAATTTTATTTACTGCCTCTTCCCAGAAAGGCTCAGTGGATGAAGACAGAATGTGTTTAACTGTGGAGTTGTTAAAGTTCTGATGTGCTGATATTTGAGCCCTAGTTGAAATCCTCTTTCTAGACTTGAGGCGTGCATGCCTGGGTGGTGTGAGTTTCTTTCTTCAGTTTCTTTTTTCAGAGGGAGAGAGTGATCTGGTGACTGTGATAACTATTGGTGAAAGGACTATCCTTAAGCAGTGTATTGAATTTGTGTCTCTTCTGTGGTGACCTTTTTTTATTGGTTGTAATTGATTCTAGGAATTGGATCCGTCTACTTCCATGCAACCCTTAGTTTCCTGGGTCAGATGCTTGATGAACTTGCAATCCTTTGGGTTCTGATGTGTGCTTTGGCCATGTGGTTCCCCAGAAGGTATCTACCAAAGATCTTTCGGAATGACCGGTAAGCTTGCACTAAACATTTTTGCATTTACCACTAGGTACAGTACCCAATATAACAATGTATATATGAAGAAAAATAGCACATGATTGAACTCAGCCTAGTGATGAGCTTATCATATTCTTGTTCAATATCTGTTGATTGTTTTTATGATCTGACAATATAAGTAAACTGACAGATTAGAGAGGGAATTTTAATAATGCTTGGGGAAGAACTGATATAACATTAGGAACAAAAGTCAAATAGTGCCCTTGTTTGATATGAGCAAGAGTGGAAAGACCTTCAGTGGAGGCGGCATTACTGAATGGTTATTCAATACTCTTTGATTTTCTGCTAGAACATTTCCTTGAGACTAATCCAACTCTACCAGTTTTATACATCTGAAGTAGAATCCGGACTAATGAACTGGTTCTTGGAGCTACACTTGTAGTTCCAATGAACTGTAGTTTTCAAGTTGTCTTTTTTTTTCTTTTTGCTTCCGATGAGAGCTGTGCACCTGTGTGTACGTGCACACACACACACACACACTCATATACCGTATATATGTTCAAATTGGAAACCCAGAATTTCAGGAAGGGATGCATTTTAATAGCCATTGTGTTAGGGTTATACAGGTATTCATCCAGTAAATATTTTTCAACACTTGTATTTTACTATGCATTTTTCTAGGCACTGGAATATCACAGTAAACAAAACAGCAGAGTCTAATGAGCTTACACTGAAGTTGGGGAGATTACAAATCAACAAGCAAACAAGTAAATAATATAATGTTAGGATATGTCAGGTACTGTGATAAAAAGTGAAGCTGATAAGGGTATAGTGGTGACTTAGTTTGCTGATTTAGAGTTTGGTCAGAGAAAGTCTTTCTGAGGAGCTATGTGAGGTTTGTTACTATCTAGAGGCACAGAGGAGATTCAGCCCAATACAGATGAGAAACGCTCCTGGAACATATTACCCACATTTTCTGTAGAACACTGTTTTGTCAAAATATACATATATGGCTAAATAGTCTAAAACTATGGATTCAGTGAAGCAAACGGTATGTGCCCATGGAAGAGTTCTATCAGGAAAAGAAAATAATTCATTACAGTTTTACTGGCACTCTGAAAAGGAACAGGAGCTGTGCAGCTGCTGAGAACTAAGGCTGCTATCTGTGGACTGAAATGGAGAAGCGTCTATGAAAAATGCTGGCTGCAAGGGGCACATTATATAATTGTATATGTGATATCCTAATTTTAGAATGAATGAACTAAACTCTTTCTGAGTATGTTTTTGTATTAGCACAAAAATGCCTGGGAGGTGAGGACACCTAACTACAGCCATTGGCTGTTCTTGGGCATTGCAGCAGAGAGGAATAGCCGCTTTTACCTTTCATCTGACTGGTTGACTTTTTTTTTTTTTTTTAACAAAATTAACACATTAATCTTTCTTGCTTGCTTTCTTGCTTTCTCTCTCTTTCTCTCTTTCTTTTTCTTTCTTTCCTTCCTCTTTCTTTCTCTCTCTCTTTCTCCTTTTCTCCCTTTCTTTCTCTCTTTCTTTCCTATCTTTTTTTCCTTTCCTTCTTTTCCTTCCTTCCCTTCTTTCCCTTCCCCTCCTTCCTTCCCTTCCCTCCTTTTCCTTTCCCTCCCCTCCCCATTCCCTTCCTCCCTTCCTTCCTTCCTTCTTTTCTTTCTTTTCTTTCATCTGACTCTGTGCCCAGGCTGCAGTGCAGTGGAGCAGTCCTGGCTAAATGCCACCTCAGCCTCCCCAGGCTCAGCTGATCCTCCCACCTCAGCCTCCCCAGGAACTGGGACTACAGGTGCACGCCACCATGCCTGGCTAATTTTTGTATTTTTTTATAGAGAAGGGGCCTCGTTATGTTGCCCAGGCTGGTCTTGAACTCCTGGGCTCAAGCAATCTGCCCACATCGGCCTCCAAAAGTGCTGGGACTACAGATGTGAACCACTGCACCTGGCCTAATTTTTTTTTTTTAAATAGAGACAGGGTCTCGTCATGTTGCCCAGGCTGGTCTCAAACTCCTGGGTTCAAGTGATCTTCCCCTCTTGGCCTCCCAGAGTGCTGGGATTATAGGTGTGAGCCTCCGCACTTGGCCATGGCCTAATTTTATTACTAAATATTTATTTTAAAATGAGATAGGGAGAAAACATACTTTAATTGGATTCACTGTACAATCTTATTCTGGGAATCAGGATTTGAATTGAATAGTATTATCTCTGAGTATCCACTAGCAGATAGAAGTACTCTCAAGAAGGTTACTTATCAGAAAATAAAAGCGAAAGAGTGAAAGGGCAGGGGTGGGGGGGCGGAGAGAGAGAGAGAGAAAGAGAGCAAGGGAATGAGAGACAGAGAAAGGCTGTTTACAAGTAGAAGTCCCTCATCTCAGATGAAAAGTGGTTCTGCATCTTGGTGAGGCCTTCTAATCAGCAGGGAAAATATGCTTTCAAATGTGGCCAGGTTGGTTTATGCTGTCACCAGTTTCCAGTCATGTTTAGTTTCCTTGTTCAACTTTAAGAGAAGCCTTGGGAGGCAAGGAAGGGGTTAAGGATGCAGGTGGAGGTAGAGGGCACCAGGTAGGGTCATGAGGTGGTTCTGCAGGTAGGGACCTTTTGACTCTGCCTGAGAAATAAGCCATTTACCCTTTGACTTTTCCTTCTGTCTTGAAAGGTACCCACCAGTCACCGCCATGCTTTCTCTAAACCTGGTGTACGTTACATTGAGAGCTGAGGAATCGCTTTTCTCAGATAACTTATTTTTCAAGTCTGAGTAAGAAATTGAAGAAATGGGAATAAAGGTTTTGTGTATTTGTTTGTGGCATTCTGGAGGCCTGGGTTGAAATTCCAAGGGACAGTTTTTAATGTATTACTTATAGAAAACTTTTTTTTCTTTTCTTTTCTGGGTTCTTGAGGTAGGGGGAATGTTGTTTGAGCAGGAAAGAAGAAAATGGGGTGATGACATTGGTAGTTAAAGCTTACCAACTTTAATAATGAAAACAGGGCCTGTTGAGGTGGTGCACGCCTGTAGTCCCAGCCACTCAGGAAGCTGAGGCAGGAAGATTTCTTGAGCCCAGGAGCTTGAGCCCAGCCTGCGCAACACAGTGAAACCTCATTTAAAAAAATAGAAAAAATAATGAAAACACATTGTGAGGCAGAGTTGTCTGTGACTGTTGGGAGTTTTTCATCACCAGCAGCCTGCAGCATTTCTCTGGGGAAGATGTGATGATATAGCCACTCTGTCCTCCTCTGGAGGCACTGGATACCATATGTGTATATATCCCTGGCTTTGGAAACAGTCCGGGTTGAATCCTAGCTTTACAACTTGCTAACTGTATGACTTGTCTTGACTCTTTCTATTTCCTTGTCTATAAAATTAAGTAAACAATAGTGTTCATCTTTGAGACGATCCTGTAGTGCATTTAGCATAATACTAAGCAACACGGAGAGGGCTCAGTCAAAGTTAGCTTTCCTGACAGCCTGGGGCATGGAGAGGAGAGTTCTGCCTGGCATTTCTGAGATATACATATAAATTGATGGAGATAACGGACATTGAAAATTTTAATGAGCAAAGAAATAAAAGGTGCATGTTAAGGAAAAAGTAAAGATTTCAACTCTATTTGCACATCTTCAATTTTCCAGTGACCAGGGAGGGCAAAAAGGCCAAGCCCCTTTACATGTACTTCACTCCCCATGACATGGGACAGGTGGCAGCTCTGCAGTGGAAGTGGCAGACCAGACCAAAAAAATCATGTCAAAATCAGGATTTCTGTAGATCAAGGATTTCTGGTTTATCTGCCTGAACTTACCAAATAGTAAACAAATTATCTCCTTTTCTTTCTTTCTCCCTTCCCTCCCTTCCCTCCCTCCCTCCCTCCCTCCTGTCTGTCTGCCTGCCTGCCCCTCCCTCCCTCTGTCCCTCCCTTCCTTCCTTTTTTCTTTTCTTTTCTTTTTTCTTTTTCTTTTTCTTTTTTTCTTGATCTAGACTTTGCTGGAATATTCTTTTTTATTTCTTTCTTTTTTTTTTGAGACAAGAGTTTCACTCTTATTGCCCAGGCTGGAGTGCAGTAGCGCAATCTCGGCTCACTGCAACCTCTGCCTCCCAGGTTCAAGCGATTCTCCTGCCTCAGCCTCCTGAGTCGCTGGGATTCGAGGCGCATGCCACCACATGTGGCTGATTTTTGTGTTTTTGGTAGAGACGGGGTTTTGCCATGTTGGTCAGGCTGGTCTTGAACTCCTCACCTCAGGTGATCTGCCCGCATTGGCCTCCCGAAGTGCTGGGATTACAGGCGTGAGCCACCACATCTGGCCTTAGCTGGAATATTCTAAACACACATTAAAAATCATTTTAATATGAGATTTTTGGAGAGGTGACAGTAGAGTGTGGTGGCTAAGTGAGTTTGGATTAGGCAACATGGCTTTGAATAACAATTCACTTAAAAAAAAAAGGCTCTGGGACCCCATTTTGCTTGTCCGTAAAGTGGAGATGACAAAAGTATCTTCCTGATGCGGTCAGAAATACATGAGAAAAGTGCATAAGGTACAATGGCTCACACAGAGTAAAGACTCAATAGGTTCTGGTGGTTATTATGAATGGCTTATGGACAAGTGGTTCTTTTTTTTTTGTTTTTCTGTTTTTGTTTGTTTGTTTGTTTGTTTTTGAGATGAAGTCTTGCTCTGTCGCCCAGGCGAGAGCAGTGATGTGATCTTGGCTCACTGAAACCTCTGCCTCCTGGGTTCAAGCGATTCTCCTGCCTCATTCTCCCAAGTAGCTAGAATTACAGGCACCTGCCACCACGCCCAGCTAATTTTTGTATTTTTAGTAGAGACAGGGTTTCACCAGATTGGCCAGGCTGGTCTCGAACTCCTGACCTCAAGTGATCCGCTTGCCTTGGCCTCACAAAGTGCTGGGATTACAGGCATGAGCCACTGTGCCTGGCCTGAATTTTTTATTGATATATAATAGTTGCACATATTTTATATAGGGAAATTATTAATGTTCATTATGTCAATGGGATATAAATGTTGGATTTATAGAAAAAAAAACTTTCTTTCATCTTGCCTAGAATGTCCTGAGACTCTTCAGGACATATACTCAATTTTGATGGTTATTAATAATTTTTAGATATTTTTATTTTGAGAAAAAAATGAGAACAAGGAACTATTATAGGCTAATTGTATCTATTTTGTTTTGTTTTGTTTTTTGGAGACAGGATCTCACTCTGTTGCCCAGGCTGGAGTGCAGTGGCACAATCACAGCTCACTGCAACCTCTGGCTCCTGTGCTCACGTGATCCTCCTACCTCAGCCTCCCAAGTGACTGGGACCACAGCTGCCTGTCACTGCACCTGGCTAATTTTTGGTTTTTTTTTTTGTAGAGACAAGGTTTTATCGTGTTACCCAGGCTGGTCTCAAATCCTGGGCTCAAGAGATCCTCCCACCTTGGCCTCCCAAAGTGCTGGGATAACAGGCATGAGCCACTGTGCCCAATCTTGTATCCACTTCTTAAATAATTTATTCTTCTCTAGTTTTTATGATTTTATCTTTAGAAAATATCAGGACAGCCTTCAGTTTATAATCTACTTTATTTTTCGAATCTTGAACAGCAAGGGAGCAGTCTGGGATCTGCCCGCCCTGCTAGCATTCTTGCTGGATGACTTGAGGCTGGAATCTTAAACTCTCTGGGCCTTAGTGCTTTAGTTATAAAATAACAGGGTTGGACTACCCCTCTGAGGTCCCTTTCATGACCAAATGCTATAGTGCTGTGACTATCAAGGGCTGGCTGTTCTAAATAGATTAAGTTTTGGTAGCTTATAGCAGTAGATCTTTTTTTTTTTTTTTTTTTTTTTTTGAGACGGAGTCTCGCTCTGTCACCCAAGCTGGAGTGCAGTGGCGCTATCCTGGCTCACTGCAAGCTCTGCCTCCTGGGTTCACGCCATTCTCCTGCCTCAGCCTCCCGAGTAGCTGGAACTACAGGCGCCCGCCACCGCGCCCGGCTCATTTTTTTGTATTTTTAGTAGAGACGGGGTTTCACCATGGTCTCGATCTCCTGACCTTGTGATCCGCCCACCTCGGCCTCCCAAAGTGCTGGGATTACAGGCGTGAGCCACCGCGCCCGGCCAGCAGTAGATCTTAACCAGGGACATTTCCAATTCCTATGCGACATTTAGAAATCTTGTGGACATGTTTTTGGTGGTCATTATGATGGGAGGTTTTATCATCTATAAATTTTATTTCATTTCAGAAATGAAATTACCACTGCTTTAAAGGGTAGCCAGTGATAGTGGTTTTCAAGCCTATACCCTGTGTCCCTTTTTACTTTGGTAAAAAAGCCAATGATAGTAGTTTTCACCTGAAAACAAAGTTTTACTTTGGTAAAAAAGGACACAGGATATAGGCTTGAAAACCACTACTTTAAAGGGTAGTTAATGATAACAGTAGCAGCTTTACTATGAAAATATTTTGATGATGGTACTGGGTTATTAGATTTTGGATTACAGAATACAGGAAGCAGTGGTGCTAAGGGTTTCCTGACCTTGTGTTTCAGTGTGAGACCCTAATGGGCTGGAAAGTTGAAAACAGGACCAGAGGCTGTCATCAATCACAGTTTAGAAAAACACCCTGTTAGGGCCTCTTACTCCTGGATATTTCTAGCTCTCTTGTACCCAGGGCCTCTGTTGACTCTGGGGTCTGCTGGGCTGGCTGGCTGTCTTTCTGCTGCCCACATGGCCTCTGTTTACTTCTCCCAGCTGTTTGTGTTCACAGGATGTCTTTGTTGGCCTGCACATTCCTGTACACCTTCTGGACCTGACATGGGGAGTCGTCTGCAGATGACCTCTCTAAAGAAAGCATGTTTTGTAGCTGGCTGCAGTGGCTCATGCCTGTAATCTCAGCACTTTGGGAGGCTGAGGTCAGGAGTTTGAGACTAGCCTGGCCAGCATGGTGAAACCCCATCTCTACTAAAAATACAAAAATTAGCTTAGTGTGGTGGTGGGCGCCTGTAATCCCAGCTACTTGGGAGGCTGAGGCAGGAGAATCGCTTGAACCCAGGAGGCAGAGGTTTCAGTGAGCTGAGATTGTGCCACTGCTCTCTAGCCTGGGTGACAGAGTGAGATTCTGTCTAAAAAAAAAACAAAAACAAAACAACAACAACAACAAAAACCCATTTTTTTTTAAGCTTACTGCCTTTAAACCATTTGGCAGTACTCTGTGGAGCCTTTGGTGATTGCAACAGCAGCTCAGTCACATTTTCCCTGAGAGTATGATATCAACAACAATAATATTATTTAAAGTAGTATTTATTTTTAAAATGATGGTAAGGATAATAGTAATAATGAATTTTATTAGCACATAACATGTACCAGGCACTGTGTTAATGCTTACAAGAACACTATGAGGCAGAGCGTCTTAATTTTTATGTGGGAAAGGCTCAAAGAGTTGAGTTACTTGCCAAAGGTCTCACAGCTGCTAAGTAATGCAAGCAGGATTTGAATGCATATCGGTCTCACTGGAACACCTATGCCTTGAATCACTCTGTTGCCCTCTCTGACCTGTGCCTAGTTCTTAAACCACTGGGTACAGAGAGGTGATGCACTCTGGACATTTCTGATTATGTGTTTATCCTAACGAAAAGGCCAAATTGCCTTGGCATGTGTCAAACCCAGTGGAAGAGTTCTTGTGGGTCCCCAAGGGCCCTGCACGTGATGGCTGTGGGCCGTCACCCTGAGGCTGGAGCGGGCGGCCTTTCCTCCAGTAGATGAAGGACACCAGCCGAGGCCAGGAGAAAAACATGCCTCTCCTGAGGATTAGCTGCCTGGAGCCTTTCCCACATATATTTTTTCCTCTGGTAGAAGTTCAGAGCTATAATTCCTGTTCATTCCAGTCTGAAAGTTGGCAGCTTGATCAATGATTTCCTGTGCCTTGATGATGAATGGCTTTCCTATTTAAAAGATAAATTTGTATTTTGAGGGTTCAATGCCCTTTGATTTCTTTATAATGGAATTTCATTCAAATTGGCTTCCTAACTGTGACCTGTTCCAGGGGCTCTTGGCCAAAGTAAATTGTGCTAATGAGGAATAACAGAAACTTCAGGAAAATCATGTACTCCTAAATTTAAGTCATGAATGAGGCCTTGGAAATCATCTCGTCCAGCCTTTTCGTTTTACAGATAAGGAAATGGGTCCCAGGGAGTAAAAAAAGCATGTCTAGGATCACGTCGCCACTTCTGGCTCTTTCTACTGAAATGACCTCCACTGAGGGGTGTGAAGATAGTATCAATTATTTGTCTAAGACTTGTCATTTCAAAAACTTGTCCATGTAGATTCTAGTGCATACTAGACTTGTAGGTTGTCAGTAAATATAGATTATTTTTTCTTAGTCTATTGAAATTTTTTCTTAAAACTTTTTTTTGGGTGTGCTAGACACATAGGATAATTTTTCTTTTAAACTAGGATGCTGTATGATTTGTGAATGGTCTGTGTTTTACTTATGAAAGTTATACATGTTCACTTTGTAGAACAGAGGGTGACAAACTACATCCCGTGGGCCAAAAGGGTTCTGTTTTGCACATCAGGTTTTATTGGCTCCCAGCTGTGCCCATTCATTTACTTATTCTCTGTAATGACAGAGTTGAGTAGCTGTGGCAGAGACCTTAGAACCTGTAAAACCTATATATATATGTGTGTGTGTGTGTGTGTGTATGTGTGTATGTATATATGATTTATTAAATTGATGTTTAATATGATTACACATATTTATTAATGCATATATTTAATTATATATTTATACTTATATATAACCATATAGTTACACTATATTTAGATATGTATAATATAGTTATATATAATATAACTATATACTATATATTCTTTATCTACACTTATATATAAAAACATGTATTTAATTTAAAAAATATATATATATAATTTATTTTATTTTTAGGTTATAGCTTACTGTAACCTCAAACTCCTGGGCTCAGGCCACCCTCCCACTTTGGCCTCCCAAAGCACTAGGATTACAGATGTGAGCCACCATACCTAGCCCAAACCCAAAAATCCTTTATAGAAAAAAATTGCTAAACCCTGCTGTAGAACATCTGAAAAAATACAGAGAAATTGAACATCTAAAAAAATACAGAAAAATCGCATGAAGAAAACAGTTATCCATATCTCACCCTCAATGATGTAGGTTGACTGTAATTTTACCATTCTCATGGCTAAATATTTTGAAAATCTCTGATTATTTCCTAAGGATAAGTTCCTTGAAGTGGAATTCCTAAGCCAATGAGTGTGAGTGGCTTTTTGAACCTTGGTACTTAGCACAGAATTTCGTTTCAGCCTGCATTTCTGGCAATGCCTGTACCTTGCTAACATTAAACAAACAAACAAACAATAATTCCTTTTCTAATGGATTTGGTTTTGTTTTCATGGATTCAGGGGCAGGTTCAAGGTGGTGGTCTGTGTCCTGTCTGCAGTTACGACGTGCCTGGCATTTGTCAAGCCTGCCATCAACAACATCTCTCTGATGACCCTGGGAGTTCCTTGCACTGCACTGCTCATCGCAGAGCTAAAGAGGTGGGTGCCGTCATTCCTGCCTACCCTTTAGCTGTCCCTGTGCTAGGAAAACACCAGCTCAGGGCTTCTTTGCTGTCCTGCAGCCGAAGAAGAGTTTTATTCCTCATGAAGAGTTAGTTGCTGGCTGTTGGATGGAAGCAGGTTTGATGGTTTGGTTCAAAATGCTAATAATCTCATTTTTAGTAAGAGGGGAGCAGCTGTTTTGCAGATGCAGTGCATCCTACTGATCACAAGCTAGCTTACCAGGACCATCTCAGCGCCTAGACCAGGCTGTCTAGACTTAATTCTGTAGAAAAGAAAAGTCCTAGAGAGGTTATTGCATTCACACACAGAAGGAAAAAGAGAAAGGGGGCAGGGAAAATGAGTTTGTATCTATAAGAAAATATGCACGTCAGGTGGACTGCAGTTGACTATGATACTTTCTTTGAGGCTTAGTGTCTCATTTACAATCTATTAGGCAAGGGTTTTGCTCTTTGCACTAGCATTTTCCTTTGGGAACTTGTGTACTCAGAGTTCAGGTAGATATCCAGAAACATTTTCGTTTAGCGCTTCTTGGTACATCATTGTCCTCTTCTAGACCCAACTGAAGTACATCTAATCACTGCCCTTATTTTAATGCTCTTTGAAAACACTTCTTTTTATTTCCAGCCATTTAAAAAATGCTTTTTTTTTTTTTTTTTTTTTGAGATGGAGCCTCGCTCTGTCATCCAGGCTAGAGTGCAGTGTCACATTCTCGGCTCACTGCAACCTCTGCCTCCTAGGTTGAAGCAATTCTCCTGCCTCACCCTCCCAAGTATCTGGGATTACAGGTACCTGCCACCACACCTAGCTCGTTTTTGTATTTTCAGTAGAGATGGGGTTTTGCCATGTTGGCCAGTCTGGTCTTGAGGTTGGGGTGAGGGTAGAGTTAGAGCGGGGATGTATGGAGGTGGTAGGGGAGACAGAAAAGGGAATGACTACTAATAAGTAAGGGCTTCGTATTTGAGTGTTGGAAAAATTATAAAATAAGATTGTGGTAATGGGTTGAAGATACCAAAACACACTGACCTGTACATTTTTTTTTTTTTTTTTTTAAGATGGAGTCTCACTCTGTTGCCCAAGCTAGAGTGCAGTGGCACAATGCTCACTGCAACCGCCGCCTCCTGGGTTCAAGCAATTTTCCTGCCTCAGCCTCCTGAGTAGCTGGGACTACAGGTGCCTACTAACATGCCTGTCCAATTTTTTGCATTTTAGTAGAGACAGGGTTTCACCATGTTGCTCAGGGTGGTCTCGAACTCCTGAGCTCAGGCAGTCTGCCTGCCTTGGCCTCCCAAAGTGCTAGGATTACAGGCGTGAGCCACCGCACCTGACTTGAACTGTACACTTTAAATAGGGGAATTTTATGATATGTGAAGTATACCCCAATAAAGCTATAAACAAAGCTATAAACAAAACAAAAACCCTCAGAACCTGCCCAGGTGATTCTGCGTGGTGGAATCATGTCTGGCCAACATGGTGAAACCCCATCTCTGCTAAAAACACAAAAAATTAGCTGGGTGTGGTGGCAGATGCCTGTAATCCCAGCTAATCAGGAGGCTGAGGCAGGAGAATCACTTGAATCCAGGAGGCGGAGGTTGCGGTGCGTGGAGATCACGCCATTGCACTCCAGCCTGGGCAACACAGCAAGACTCCATCTCAAAAAAAAAAGCTCCCTCTATTCCTCACCTCTCATTTACTCATTTGCTCTTCAACTCTTGCCAATCTGGCTTCTGCCCCTACTTCGATACCCAAATCCCTCTCTGTAGGCCATACACCCAGTGATCAGTTTTCAGCCCCCCTGTATCTTATGTGTTATTCTCTCAGCTGCTCGCCCAATTAGTTCTCCTCCCCATGGTTGAAATGTTCTTCGCCATGGCTCCTGTGATAGCACATCCTCCTGGATTTCCCATTACCTCTCGGCAGCTCCTTTTCAGTTTCTTGCGTAGACTGCTACTTTTCTACACAGCTTTGCATGTAGGACTCCCTTAAGGTGCACCCTCAACTCCCTGCTTGCTATGGTCTGAATGTTTGTGTCTCCCCTGAATTCATATGTTGAAATACTAATTAATAAGGTGATGATATTAGGAGGTGGACCTTTTGGAAGGTGATTAAGTCAGTGGGGGTAGAGCCCTCATACATGGGATTAGTGGTCTTATAAAAGAGGCCCCAGAGAGCTGCCTGGGCCCTTCTACCATGTGAGGATACAGCGCTAGAAGGTGTGATCTATAAGGAATGGCCCTCACCAGACACTGATTCTGCTGGCACCTTGATCTCAGACTTCCCAGCCTCCAGAACTATGAGAAACAAATGTCTGTTTTTATCAGCCACCCAGTATACAATGTTTTGTTACAACAGCCTGCATGGATTAAGACACTGTTTTTCTCCCTTTATATGTCCCCCTGAAAGATCTCTTCTACTTCTGTGGCTTTTATTCTCTTACATATGCAGATGACTCCTAAACTTATGTCTCCAACCCAGTCCTTCCTCTTAACTCTACTATTATGTGTCTAGCTGCCTACCTAACCTAATTCCATGTATCTTGGGCATCTCAAATTCAACTTGTCCAAACACAGATTCCTGATTTGCCTTTTCTAGTTCTGGTTCTCTTCATCATATTTCTAGTTGCAGAAAAGGGGAGCACCATTTACCCAGTTACTCAAGCCTGACATCCTCTTCCTTCCCCACACATGCCATTTGAGCACATTTTTCTTTTTTTTTTGGGACAGACTCCTACTCTGTTACCCAGGCTGGAGTGCAATGGCATGATCTCAGCTCACTACTACCTTTGCCTCCTGAGTTCAAGCGATTCTCCTGCCTCAGCCTCTCAAGTAGCTGAGACCACAGGCACACGCCACCATGCACGGCTAATTTTTTATATTTTTAGTAGAGATGGGGCTTCACCATGTTAGCCAGGAAGGTCTCGATCTCCTGACCTGATGATCTGCCCTCCTCGGCCTCCCAAAGTGCTGGGATCACAGGCATGCATGAGCCACGCGCCCAGCCCCGAGCACAGTCATTTTTCTACCAGTCGATGTTGCAGTGAAGATGAAGTTCCAAATCCTTGACATGCTCCAGCCTTCCCCTGTGAGCTGATCGCTCCCACAAGAAGCTCCTCTGCCTTCCATCCTCAGCCATTCTGACCTTCTGTGTCTTCCGTGGACCCTGCACCTGTCAGCCCTAGGCCCTTCCTTATTTATGCAGTCCCTTTTTTTGGCCCTCTTGCTTGGCTAACTTCTACTCATCCTTCAGATTGGGCTGAACTATTTATATGCTGTTCCAGGACCCTGAACTTCTTTATTGCACCCACATTGATTGTAATTAGATTATTTGTATTGTTTTGTTTGGTGTCTGTCCCCTCTGCTGGACATCGACTCCACGTGGGCAGGGATGGGGTCTCTTTGTTCACTGCTGTGTCCCAGTTACCACACCAGTTCCCAGCCAGGAAAAGAAAAGAAAGAAAAGATGGTTGTTTCCCTACTTTGGTAAAATACCCAGACAAAAGGATGCCCTTATCGCTCTTGCACCTCTTTCCTGAATCTTCCCTGGTTATCACTCGCGATGATGTTATGTCTGAGCTGAATGTTTCTCACTGCATGCTCGTTTGCTCAGAGGAAATAGAGGAGGAATGTTTTTCTCACTTTCTCTTTCTCTTTAGCCTTTCTTCCTAAGGCTTGTTTCTAGTCATTTCTTGTAATCAGCTTCCTGAGAAGTATTTCCATTGTCTTTTCTGACCTCTCCCTCACACCATGAGAAAACAGAAGTTTATGCTGATTTTGGGTCATGACCTGACACTGAAATTGGTGGTGTTAAGTACATTGCCGAGTAACTCAGATACATTTATAATATTGTAAAAAATACTTTTTCTGATTATAGGAGTGATTTTATTGTTAAGAAAAATTTGAGAATACAATCAAGGGTCAAGAAGAAAAGAAATGGTAGACATTCCTCTCAAGATTTTTCTTTTTTTTTTTCCTTTCTTTTTTTTTTTGAGACAGAGTCTCGCTCTGTGGCCCGGGCTGGAGTGCAGTGGCCGGATCTCAGCTCACTGCAAGCTCTGCCTCCCGGGTTCACGCCATTCTCCTGCCTCAGCCCCCCGAGCAGATGGGACTACAGGCGCCCGCCACCTCGCCCGGCTAGTTTTTTGTATTTTTTAGTAGAGACGGGGTTTCACCGTGTTAGCCAGGATGGTCTCGATCTCCTGACCTCGCGATCCGCCCGTCTCGGCCTCCCAAAGTGCTGGGATTACAGGCTTGAGCCACCGCGCCCGGCCAAGATTTTTCTATTGTAGAATAAGGTCTTGCTGTACATATGATTTTTGTGCTCCACTTTTCACTTCACATTGATATTTTGATAAAAGCCCTGAAAAATGGGAGCGAAACCGAACGGACCACCCCCGGTTAGGTTTGGACAAACCCCGAGTGCAAATAAGGCTGGTCAGCAGCTTTTAGCAGGACCTGCTTCCTCTAGAAGCAGAGAAAGGAAGAGTAACAGACTGCCCTGAGACCAGGCTCTACAGAGCCCGGCTCCTGCCTCATACATGCTAAGCCTGCCCTGTCCTGGCGCTTGCAGTGACTAATGGCCGGACATGCTGCCTCTCAGTTGATACCCTCCATGCAGGACATCTCCAGCACCTTGCTCTCTGTTCTGGTATGTTCCTTAAGCCAAACTTTCTAGGTTTAATTGCATTGGATGTTCATGGATCCTCATGTCCCAGACTAATTGTCTATATATTTGTTGATATTTGTTCTTGACTATTTTCATTTTATTTTTTAAATTCAAGGCAAGATGCTTATTTATTTTGTATTTTATAGTGCCTAGCATAGAATTTGATGCCCAATCAATACTTTTGTTTTTTTTCTCCAAGATGGGGTCTCGCTCTATCGCCCAGGCTGGAGTGCAGTGGCACTGTCTCAGCTCACTGCAACCTCTGTCTCCTGGGTTCAAGCGATTCTCTTGCCTCAGCCTCCCGAGTAGCTGGGACTACAGATGCATGCCATCATGCCCGGCTAATTTATTGTGTTTTTAAAAATTTAATTTAATTTTAATTTTTTATTTTATTTATTTATTTTTTTGAGACAGAGTCTTGCTCAGTTGCCCAGGCTGGAGTGCAGTGGCGCGATCTTGGCTCACTGCAAGCTCTGCCTCCCGGGTTCACGCTATTCTCCTGCCTCAGCCTCCAGAGTAGGTAGGATTACAGGTGCCTGCCACCACGCCCAGCTAATTTTTTTTTGTATTTTTAGTAGATACGGAGTTTCACCATGTTAGCCAGGATGGTCTCGATCTCCTGACCTCGTGATCCCCTGGCCTTGGCCTCCCAAAGTGCTGGGATTACAGGTGTGAGCCACTGCGCCTGGCCGATAACCTTAAATAATCTAAAAATAATGTTCTGCCCAAATTACAAATTACCAAATTAGAGTCCAGTTATTCATAATTTTATCCATTAATTCAGGGAGCATTTAACAGTGCCTGGCAGAGTTGCCAGGCATGGAGTATGCATTAGTGAATAAAACAGGGGTAGTTCCTCTTGTCATTGGGCTTCTAGGCTGGTTTGTTTGTTTGTTTATTTATTGAGATGGAGTCTCACTCTTGAAGCTCAGGCTGGAGCAGTGGCGCGATCTGAGCTCTCTGCAACCTCTGCAATCTGGGTTCAAGCAATTCTCCTGTCTCAGCCTCCCAAGTAGCTGAGATTACAGGCGTGTGCCACCACCCCTGGCTAATTTTTGTATTTTTAGTAGAGATGGGATATCACCATGTTGGCCAGGCTGGTCTCCAACTCCTGACCTCAAGCGATCCACCCATCTTGGCCTCCCAAAGTGCTGGGATTACGGGGGTGAGCCACTGCTCCCGGCCTCTAGGCTAGTTTAATACCAGATGTTACACAGATAATCCATAGTTTCAGCTTGTGATGAGAGTTATGAAGGAACATGGCGGGGTGCCCTGAGAGTGCACTAAGGCAGGGGTGTTGGCTCTTTTGGTTTCCCTGTGCCATACTGGAAGAAAAATTGTCTTAGGCCACACATAAAATATACTAATGATAGCTGATGAGCTAAAAAAAAAAAAAAAGTCACAGAAAAAAATCTGATAATGTTTTAAGAAAGTTTATGAATTTGTGTTGGGCCTCATTCGAAGCCGTCCTGGTCAGCATGCAGCCTGTGGGCCACGGCTTTGGACAAGCTTGCACCACGGGGAGACCTATAGTCTGGCATGGAGTAGCTGGCATGGAGTGTCAGAAGAAGCCTGGAGACTGAGCCCTGGAGAGAAGGAGAGGGTGGGTCAAGGTGAGGAGATGAGCTCTTTTTGAGAGGGAACCAGCCCAAAGGCGAGGCTTTCAAGGTAGAGAGGTGAGCAGAAGTGAGAAATGGAAATTGTTACCTCTTTGTTTTAGTAACTGGGAATGTAAGTCTTCCTGTGTCATGGGCCTCTATTCTTTCTAAAAACTTCAAGGGATGCCTTTAGCCTTCCTACAAGAGTATTTTGGTTTGTTTTTGAGCAGGTCTTTCCGAACCTGTCCCACTTTTATTGATGCTTTCGCTGATGTTTCTGAAAGGCAGCTGGGAAGGGCACTAGGCAGTGAGGCTTTTAACACCTGTCTGTGGGTTCAACAAATAGAAATTAAGCTGCTTCTCAATTGCAGATGTTGTGTTGTATTCTGAGTCCTGTAGGAGATCTTGACTGATGCAGGAGTGGTCCCCTCGGGGAAGAAGGACCCTCAGCCACCAGCTGCCTCCAGGCATTCCTCCACAGGGATAGAAGTCACCCACTTTATGAGCAAGACTTTAACAAGGAAAGAAGACAGCAATTGAAATTTTCGTTGAGCTGTTAGGATTTGTTTCAGAAAACCATTTTGTCCCAGTGTGTATAATAACTTATTCTTTCATTCAACACATGTTGTGTGCCTTCTGTGTCTGGCATGTTTCCAGGTGCTGGGATACGGCAGTAAACAGCTTCCATGTCAGTGGATAAACATACACTGGAAACATATAAGTGAAACACAGCGGGTGTCAGGGAGGTTATAATCACTACCGAGAAAATTAAAGGAGGGAAGGAGGCCTTAGGGAGAGTCACTTGGGAGGTGGAGACAGGTGTTGCAATTGTTAAAAATAGCATCAGGAAAAGGCTTACTGAGTGACATTTGAGCAAAGATTTGTATCTAGGGGAAGAGCATTCCAGGCAAGAGGGCACAGTGTGTGCTATGGTCTTGCAGGAACATGTTTGGGATATTTGCGGAACAGCACAAATCCCGCAGTGGCTTGAGTACAGGCAGTGAGAGGGAAGAGTACCTAAGAGAGGAGGTGAAGGGGAAGAGGGAAGATCATGCATCCAAGGCCTTGTGGCCGCTGTGAATACTTTGGCTTTCCCTCTGGTTAAACCGGAAGATGCTGGAGGCTGTTAAATTGGCTGTAAGGGCAAGGGTGGAAGGAGACTGATGAGATGGCGGTAGCGTGGATCTAGAGGGAGGTGTTGGAAAAAGGTCAGGTTTGAGATATTTTGAAGGGAGAGCTGATGGACTGGATGTGGGCTGTCTGAGGAGGAGAAGGACTGGGAGAGCAATAGGTTATGGACTTGTTAAATTTAGATCCATATTAGGGTGCTCATGTCAAAAACGTAGTTGGGTATATGAGTCTGGAGTCAGGCGAGAAGCCTGGGTGGGAAGGGTGTCTGTAAGCCATCTGTGTACATATGGTATTTACATCCATGAGACTGTGGAGTGACTGTGTGTTGGGTAAGAACTTCAGTGCCAAGGGGTTGTAGGCATGAGAGGAACCAGCGAAGGAGACAGAGGAAAGGTGGCCGGCGAGGAGGTAGAGACCAGTTCTGACGGTGAGTGACCTTCTGGACCCCCATGCAGATGTGACAACGTGCGTGTGTTTAAGCTGGGCCTCTTCTCGGGCCTCTGGTGGACCCTGGCCCTGTTCTGCTGGATCAGTGACCGAGCTTTCTGCGAGCTGCTGTCGTCCTTCAACTTCCCCTACCTGCACTGCGTGTGGTAAGCCCCTGCTAATGGGGAGGTGGCTGGGGACAGGTGTGTTTGCACTTGCTGTTGGGCTCTGTTCACCCTGCAGGTGGTGCACAGGTGTCCTGGGGGTTGCTGGCTTCCTTCTCTCCTCAGGTGGACTGTCAGATGGTTCAGAAGCCACTGAAAGTTCACTTTGTAAAAAGCTGAATTGACTCCAGGGAGCAGGCTTAGCTGGAACAAAAGGCCTGATTGTCATGCTTAGGTCTGCAGTTTCTTACCTCTAACTCCATCATTAAAGCCTAAAGGAGCTTGAGAACTGAACCTGTAACCTGAGCTCTAGCTAGGTGTTAGGGGAGGGGAGAGGTAGGGGAAAGCTGGGGAAAGAGATGATGTGAGGGCTGGGAGTGTCCTCAGTAGGAACCCCACCTTTAGGGTCTGAGTGACCAAGTGAAAGGAGGGGCCGCACAGGCCATTTAGGGACATTCTCTTCCATTATTTCTCTAAGTGGATACAGAAGACCAGAGAGCTAAAGTGAATTGTTTAATATCACCCACCTGTTTCTGTAGAAAACAGCCTTGGAGTTCAATAATAGCAAGTTGGAGCATCTATACTTTGGAATGCTCAGGATACACTAAGTTAAAAAAAAAAAAGTGGGTTACAAAATACAGGCAGAATCCGATTCTGAGAAAGCTGGGGGAAATCGGAGTGGCTTTCTTCCTAGAACTGCTTCAGCCTCAAACCCAGAGTGATCTTTCCTTTCTCTCCTCCAGGACTTCTGATTGCAAAAGATCACGAGGAGGAGAAATCTGCTGTAGATTATCCCCTATAGATAGAGGGAACCCAGGAAGGAATTCTAGTGGTGAAGAAATGGAAAAACTTTGTTAGATCTAGATTCAGGAAAAGGTTGACTTCTATCCAGAGATGGGCTAAAGATACACAATTTGATAGAATTCACTTACGTTCCCTTGCTCATGCGAACTTCTATATGTTTACCATGAGACCCACCCTACTCTAAATTTAAGACTTGGGGACTTCAAGGAGTATTTGCAAAAGACAAAACTCAAACAGCACAAGTTGGAGTTTACAGTCTTAGGATCCATTGTTCAACATTTTTTAGATTTCAACCTCAACTAATACTAGCGAATTTATATACTTTATATATTTGTTGAATTGTAATTTCCAGATAACAAAACACACAGATTTTATGTGTATATTGTGAATTTTGAGAAACGTGTACACTAGGTAAATGACCTCATTCAAGATGGTCGTTTTTATCTATCTAAGTCCCCTTGTCACACTAGTGATTTAAGTCAAATTCAAAATTTAAACTATGTAATAATGTTGACTCAAACTTAACTTGTTTCTGAATTTGGTGTTATTTCTGCTTTTTCAAAGTTGAACCATCTTTTCTTTCCAGTTGTAAAATGACATATATGTTTTTTATAATAAATTTAAACAACAAAGAAGTATAGAAAGAATGGCTCTTATAATTCTATGCCCCAAAGAAACATAATTGTTAACAGTCTGACATATATCCATTGAGATTTTATATGTACACACACACACACACATATATATATCTACTTAAAAAAAATAGAATCGTTCTATACATGATGCAAACTTTTTTTTTTTTTTCCGAGACAAAGTCTTGCTCCATTGCCCAGGCTGGAGTGCAGTGGGGCGATCTCGGCTCACTGCAATCTCTGCTCACTGCAATCTCTGCCTCCCGGACTGAAAGTGATTCTCCCACTTCACCCCTGCAGGGAGCTGGAACTAAAGGTGTATGCCACTGCACTAGGCTAATTTATTTTGAATTTTTCTGTAGAGATGGGTTTTTGCCATGTTGCCCAGCCTTGTCAGAAACTCCTGGGCTCAAGCAGTCCACCTGCCTTGGGCTCCCAAAGTGCTAGGATTACAGGCATGAGCCATTGAGCCCCGCCCCAATTTTTTTTTTTTTTTTTTACCAACCAAATACTTAAATCTATACTACATAGATCTAATGCTATACACACATCATTCCATACCAGTACATACATATAAAATCTTTATTATTTTGTCTAATTAATACTTCATAATATGGATGCTTTGTAATTTATTTAACCAGCCTCTCTCTGATAATGGACATTGAGGTTATTTCTAATTTTCCACTTTTGCAAATACTTTTATAATGAACACCTAGATTGATTTGAGTTTCTGAATATTTTCATATTAAATTAATAATATATATTGCCAAATCCAGAGAAACTGTACCATTAACTCTGTTTACTGAAGTCTGTAAGAGAGCATCTTTTACCCACACTTTCACATATACTGGAAACTTAAATCCCCATTAACCTGATTGAGAAAAGTTATATTTTGTTTTTATTACTATGTCTTTTAACAAAATTAGTATTTTTGTTGGGCATCTTTTCAGATGTAAATTTGTGACGTGTATTTCCCCTTTTAATTTTCTTTGGTCTATTGAGTGTTTCTATTTTTAAAAGTTTATATCGGCCGGATGCGGTGGCTCATGTCTGTAATCCCAGCACTGTGGGAGGCCGAAGTGGGTGGATCACAAGGTCAGGAGATCGAGACCATCCTGGCTAACACGTCTCTACTAAAAATACAAAAAATTAGCTGGGTGTGGTGGCATTTCCTTGTAGTCCCAGCTACTTGGGAGGCTGAGGTAGGAGAATTGCTTGAACCCGGGAGGCAGAGATTGCAGTGAACAAAGATTGCACCACTGCACTCTAGCCTGGGCAACAGAGTGAGACTCCGTCTCAAAAAAAAAAAAAAAGTTTAGATCCAGCATCTAGGCTTGGCACATAGTAGACAGTCATTACTATGTGCCACTTATGCATATTTGCAACATTTTCGCAAGTGCAGAGAATAATACATTGAGCCCCCATATAGGCAACACCCAGATTCCATAAATATCAACATGAGGCCAATCTTGTTCATACCATTCTCACCTGCTTCCCACCCTCACCCTGATTAATTTCTTTAGTGTTCTTTGTATGTAAGGGTTTAAACTTTGTCATGTGCTGCAAATATTCCCTGCCCCCCCACCGCAGTTTCCTGTTTGTCTTTCAGTATGTTAATATTTTTGTGCCATAATGGTTTCAGACTTTCATGTTGTCACATCTGTTAATCTTTTCTTTAGAGTTTCTGGATTTTGTGTAATTTTTAAAAAGACCCCCTCCCTACCACCATCAAAATTTATAAAAATACTGTCTTTGGGCTGAGCGCAGTGGCTCACGCCTGTAATCCCAGCACTTTGGGAGGCCAAGGCACGTGGATCACCTGAGGTCAGGAGTTCGAGACCACCCTGGCCAGTGTGGTGAAACCCCCTCTCTACTAAAAATACAAAAATTAGCTAGCTGGGCCTGGTGACAGGCACCTGTAATCCCAGCTACTTGGGAGGCTGAGGCAGGAGAACTGCTTGAACCTGGAAGGCAGAGGTTGCAGTGAGCCAAGATTGCACTACTGCACTTCAGCCTGGGTGACATCTAAAAAAAAGAAAAAGAAAGGATTATATGCTTTTAAATGGTCTATTGTTTGATAAAGATTAATATTAAATTAAAACTTTTTACAGGTACAGTGAGGATAAATTTTTTTGTTTGTTTGTTTTTGAGACAGAGTCTTGCTCTGTCGCCCAGGCTGGACTGCAATGGTGTGATCTCAGCTCACTGCAAGCTCCGCCTCCAGGTTCACGCCATTCTCCTGCCTCAGCCTCCCGATTAACTGGGACTACAGGCGCCCACCACCATGCCCGGCTAATTTTTTTAATTATTATTTTTAGTAGAGACGGGGTTTCACCTTGTTAGCCAGGATGGTCTCGGTCTCCTGACCTCGTGATCCACCTGCCTTGGCCTCCAAAAGTACTGGGATTAGAGGCGTGAGCCACCGCGCCCGGCCCCAGTGAGGATAAATTTTTTTAAATTTCCACTAAACTGCAAAAGTGGTTTAATCAACATAAAATTATTCCTGATGAAGGACATAAAATATCTGTAACCAGTTGTTAAAGTGAGAAGGTGGGATCTAATCAGATGTGCTCAGTTACTTCCGTCTTAGCACCTCTCTTGTAAATCCTTGGGCCTCAGTTTTCTTGTTTGAGGCCCAAAGGCATTTATTTGCACATTTGTTCCTATTATCCAGTAGCAATATTTTAGAACATTCTAAAATGGGTCCCAAATTGCTGAAGATTTATCATCCTGCTGTTCCAGGGATTGTTGGTAATCTTCATCCTTTCCTAATTAGAAGAGGCCCCTGGGCTGCAAGTACAGTCAGCAAGGTGGGTGGTTACACTGGAAGAAGGAGCAGGCTGAACTCAGGCCAGCGGAGTCTTCATGCTCATCAGGTTCTCACCTCTTGTCTCCCTCTGCAGGCACATCCTCATCTGCCTTGCTGCCTACCTGGGCTGTGTATGCTTTGCCTACTTTGATGCTGCCTCAGAGATTCCTGAGCAAGGCCCTGTCATCAAGTTCTGGCCTAGCGAGAAATGGGCCTTCATTGGTGTCCCCTACGTGTCCCTTCTGTGTGCCAACAAGAAATCATCAGTCAAGATCACGTGATGGCAAGGTGGTGGCTGGCTTCTCTGCTTATCGCCCCTCATGCAGTGGGCTTCCTTTGCTAGGAAGACAGCCAAGGGATTTCGAAGAGTTGGGATGTGGGCTATCTTTTCAAAAATCTGTTTGCTGAGGCTCTCACTAATATGTCTGTGGACCACCAGGATTCCCCTGTGCAAGGGGAAAAGTGTCTATTCCTTTCCCAAAGACGGAAAATGGAGGGCTTAGGGACACTAGATGCATCTTTCTCAGCATCGCTTCCAGATGCAGTGACTTGTTGCGCTGCATCCTTAATGGCCATGGCAGAGCAGTCCCTTGGGGGATCCAGCCCTGTACAATGCATCTCGTCCTGGAGAAAGCTGGCCTGCTCCAGACCCCACCATTCCCAGGCACCCTTGGAGTGGATTCTACTGATGACAGACAGACCCTCTGACAGACAAGACCCTCTGACTCTCTGATGGAAGATGCCAGAGATTTTCCTTTGGAGTAATTGTTCTTAAACAAAACCAAACAGATGAAACACACACAGGACTTGTGGCTAAAAAAGGCTAGTTTTTCACTTGCATTTCTCAACTAACATGCATCTGTGAATCCTTTTACTACTACCTCTGTGGAGAGATGGAGAGACTTCAGATAAAGGTGAAGCTAATGCGTAAAACCCTCTCTGCCAAAACCTACACTCCACTGTAGGCCATTCTTGAAGATGAGCACAGTTTTTAAATACTGACATCATTTCCGCTTCCCCCTCCCACCCCAGCTCAGCAGCCTCAAATCCACAGAGAAGAAGAATTATGGCATGAACATTCCCACAGACCCACCATCTTTAAGACTTGACCGCCGTAAGTTTACCAAAAGGCTCCTCACAATTGTGGTGGGGGTTCTGGTTCAAAATTTGGAGCACACATGAAGTTTTTGGAAACTTTTTCTCATTTAAAGTCTCCAGTATGCTGTACTGTTCTGGAAATTACCTTCAAGAATCTCACTTCTTGTTTCTGTTGTGTTTTCTGTGGGCATCATGTTATTCACTCTTGCGGTAGAAGGTGCTTTCTGGGTTTCCCAGAGTATCCAACGGCTCACTTTTCTCAAGTGCTGGCAGTAACCATGCACTCACGGGCTAGTTTGGGCCGCTGATGCAGCAGTGCAAATCTGTTGCCTTCTGAATTTTTCTCACCTAATGTGACATTGGCTACAATGAATCTTCTCTTCATCGGGCTGAATGCAAGATTCAAGAACTGTCTTCAAGGTGCATGGTGGGAATTATCAACCTCAGGGATACTCATTTTAACTCAGGCATGTCCTGCTTTGTAACATTCCGTTGTTGGGAGAGGGCAGGACAGGTGCATTCTTGTGTGGGCAGGAGTCATGTCACTGTCCTACATATGTAAGAGTTGGGAAGGTGATGATTTTTGGCACATCCAGGAACTCTTACTCTAGTTAGAATTTGTACAAGATCCAAGGTGAAAACCCCAATAAGCAACTGAATTTAGAGTTTAAAAATGAATGACTTTATGCTACATCTGTGGTTATCAAATTATGTAGCTTGTTCAAGAGCAGAACCCTGTTTGTAGTAAGAAATCTTTGTGGAACCCCAGTGTGTGAAATAAATTGTATTTTATTAACTCAAATTTAAGGTCAAATTTCTAGCATTTACTTAATAATATATGAGGTGGTAAAAATGCAAATTAACAAATTGGTAATTTCCAAAGTAGAAAAATTAGGTGTTGAATGAGTGTATATGTTGCTTTATTGTACTTTTATATATAGAGAGAGTGTGTTTTGTTTTTGAGTCAGGATCTTGCTGTATCACCCAGGCTGGAGTACAGTGGTGCAATCATGACTCACTGTGGCCTCTGTCTCCCAGGCTCAAGTGATCCTCCCACCTCAGCCTCCCTAGGAGCTGGGACTACTGGTGCATGCCACCACTCCCAGCTAATTTTTGTATTTTTTCATAGAGATGGGGTTTCACCATTTTGCCTAGGCTGGTCTCAAACTCCTGGGCTCAAGAGATCTGCCCGCCTCAGCCTCCCAAAGTGCTGGGAATAGGCATGAGCTATCACGCCTGGCCTAAAAAATATTTTTAAAACGATATTTGAATTAAATATTCGTAGAACTTCTAATGTACCTCTTTGAGACCTATGTGGTTGATGGAACAGAACTGCTGTTAAGTCCTTTGGGTTTCAAGTCTATAATTTTTTTTTTCTTTTTTTTTTTTTTGAGACGGAGTCTCGCTCTTTTGCCCAGGCTGGAGTGCAGTGGCCGGATCTCAGCTCACTGCAAGCTCCGCCTCCCGGGTTTATGCCATTCTCCTGCCTCAGCCTCCCGAGTAGCTGGGACTACAGGCACCCGCCACCGCGCCCGGCTAGTTTTTTGTATGTTTTAGTAGAGACGGGGTTTCACCATGTTAGCCAGGATGGTCTTGATCTCCTGACCTCGTGATCCGCCCGTCTCAGCCTCCCAAAGTGCAGGGATTATAGGCTTGAGCCACCGCGCCCGGCCAAGTCTAGAATTTTTAAAAGGCAAATATCAGACCATTCTTATTTTAGATTGACTTTATCAGGCATGGATTCTGGTCTCATCTACTTTATGGTATAAATGCTCCAAGGTAGGGGGTTTGTTGTATATTTTAAGCCCAGCTTTTTTTTTTTTTTTTTTAATGTGAGAAGCAGAATGTGTTTCTAGAAACGGTTTTAAAGAGATGAGCTGAGAAAGAAATGTCGAATGGAGTATATTTGAGGAGGACAAAACATTACTTCACTTTTGAACAGAAATCACTCTAGCTTGCCAGCATGGGATATAAACCAAAAGAGTAGAAATATACCCATCTTATTTTAAGTTGGATTTATGGCATCACTCATTTATGTAAAAGCACTACAAACTCTTTAAAGAAAATTGGGAAACTACAGAAAAGTCAAAGAAAAAGAAAGGTAACCCATATTTCTATTGCCCAGGTATAATCCTTGTTAATATTTTGGTGTAGTCTCCTCTTTTTCCCCCCAATATAGTTGTAAATAAATGATGTCTTTCAGAGTTGACATTTATCCTGTAGCTTGAATGGCATATACATGCCAGTTGTGTATTTTTTCATGAAGTGTGGGTTTGGAATACACTAGAGTTAGCTATATGCTTGAATGCTGATCATTGACTTCTGAGACTGACTACTGAGTCTACCTTTTTAATCAAGCCTGACATGAATGGGCCCTAAAAAGTAATGAATGGAATTCTACTTTTTGATGTGCCTCTGCACTTGGCTTGGTGAGTCATCATAAATAGCTGTTAAATATGTGACTGTACAGATTTTGATATGTTCAGATTATAAAAAATGAACAGCTTATTTCATTAATTGATGGGCAGTCAAGAACCTCCCTCCCTCCAGTAGGGCTGACACTTAGGAGTTAGGTCATGGTGGTGGTTACTTGGCATGGCTAATCAGATTTTGTTCTGGTCAGAATTTGCCCAAGATCAAGACCCAGCAGAAACTGGAGTTAGGTTATAAAAAACCATTCATGTTTCTGAGTGATCATTTCCATCAGTGATTCATGTTTTACAGTGTTTAGTTGTTGATTAGAAAAAGTAATCTTTTCTTCCCTTTATTACATCATTATAAATCAAGTCCTTCTGTGAACACATTTAAGGTGTGTGGAGATGAGATGTCTGAATCCATTTGGGGACGGGCTGCATTTTTGGGGAACTCTATGCTTGTCCAGTGAAGAGTGCCTAAAACATTAATTGTAGATCAAAGATGTTCTGTTGAGGGACAAAGCTTGATGGTCATCAAACACAAGGCTTTGTAAAAATACAACCACCTCTTCCGCTTACTGGATCTCTCAGGTGTGTAAAACTTCTCTCGCCAGTTCATCGTGCTTCCATGAGCCAGTGCCATGTCGAGTCCCCAGGACTGGGATTTGAGTCTTCCTGGCTCTTTATCCCTTGGGGCAGACATGGAACCATCTCTGAGGGACAGGTGGATGCTGAAGCTCACCCGGTCAGGGCCCCTCTCCTAGCTCCTTTTACACTGAAATTAATCTGAACGCTTCCATAGCCAAGGCTTTGCCTAGGTGCTATTATTCCAGCTGGCCAAAGAGAAGTCTTGGGCCAGATTGGGATTCTCAATGGATTTTATACACATAATTCCCTTAACAAACTTAAAAAAAAATGACCCCTACTTTATAGGACTAATTGTTTGAATTGTATCTTTCTCTATATGTTAAACCAGATTTAAAACTATAACCACAATATGTAATCAGAGCAATCTCGTATTTTCAGATATATACCTTGTTATATACCTTATGTAGATGTGCTGTATAAGGGTGGCATGCCCACTGGCTGTGGTAAAATTTAATCCCCATTGCTTTGGGAGTGATTTAAGGCCTTTTGAAGTGGAGCTTTTGCACTTTATACTTTTTCTGTGAACTATGATAACTATATTTGATATTAAAGCTGTAAGTGGCATTTTCAGCAAATGAATATGTACGTATGTGTCTATTTCCAAAATGATTTCTGAACTATCTGCGGTGAAAATGTATCTGATGGATTGTAGAGCAAAGCACATTGCCTAAATTCATTTGTTAATGAATTGGGTACCATTGTTATTAAAAATGCTTAAAATAATTGTAGTTACTTGTTGGTTTCTTCTCAGAGCTGTGAAGTTAATACATGAAAATATTTCCAGTATAAAGTACCTAAGAACAGTTTATTTTACTAAAACTTCTATAGTCATGTCATATAGATATAAATCTCAAATACAGGTCTGGTGCGGTGGTTCACGCCTGTAATCCCAGTACTTTGGGATGCTTAAGTGGGTGGATCGCTTGAGCTCAGGAGTTCAAAACCAGCTTGGGCAACATGGTGAAACCCTGTCTCTACCAAAATCACAAAAATTAGCCAGGTGTGGTGATGCACACCTGTAGTTCCAGCTATGCAGGAGGCTGAGATGGGAGGATTGCTTGAGCCTAGGAGGCAGAGGTTGCAGTGAGCAGAGATCGCACCACTGTGTTCCAGCCTGGGCCAAGCAGTGAGACCCTCTCTCTCAAAGAAAAAAAAAAAAAAAGACCATAAGAGAAGAAAGACTGGTTAAGCATTATCTGTATCATTACAGTGGTTTTTTTAGACTTTTTTTTTTTTTTTTTTTTCTGGCAGAGGTGAGGGGACAAGGAGTGGCCCCAAAGTTCTTTGGCAATAGAAAAGCTGTAGGAAAACGTCCATGTACAGGTTGAATATCCCTAACCCAAAAATAAAAAATCAGAAATTCTCCAAAACCTGGAACTTTTTGAGCACCTATATAACAATCAAAGGGAATGTTCCTTGGAGCATTTCAGATTTCTGATTTTTGGATTAGGGATGCTGTATAATGCAAATATTCCAAAGTCTGATAAGATCTGAAATCCAAGCATTTCTGATTCCAAGCCCTTTGGATAAGGGACATTCAATCAGTATATAATTTTCTGGGTGTTCAGATATCTCTGGTAGTCCATCCAGGTAAAGAACCTCTGCCCAGCAGGAGGCTAAGCAACCTTTCAAATCCTTTTGGTGCTGAAATTGGTTACTCACTCTTCAGGACTGAACTTTTTTGAGGCTATGGTCAGGGACAGTGGCTGAGGAAGTTGAGGGCTCTGCTTTTGGGGCACTGGCACGGGTGTGTTTGCCTCTCTCCCCGACAGTCTGGACTATTTGTGTCTCCTCATGGGTGACCTCTTTTTCTGAGTCTGACCAGGAGTTGATGCAGCCACCCCTGCTCCCTTTTCCAGCTTGCCCTTTGAAGACCAGAGCTCAGGGCCTAGCCTCTCCCACTCTTCTCTTTTAAGGACTTTTCATTAAAAGAGCATTACGTTGAAAGACTGTGTTAAAGGACTATACTATAAAGGGCGGGAATGGGCAGACCCAGGGTTCTGGTAACTTACATCTTAGGGGTCCTCAACAAACTGGAAACTTAGATTTTTTCCTTGCAGACTGTTTCCTGGTTTACAGTTTCACAGTTCTTAAGATGGTATTTGGGTTTGTCATACCATTCTGTCTACTTTTGTATAGTTGGATTTTTTCATAATAAGAAGTTAAAAGATGGTATTTGAGCTTTTGTTCTCCACTCTCTACAGAGCGGGTTCTCAGCCTTCTTTCCCACACCGTTTTAAGAGGGCTGGCAGCCCCTGTCTCCCACTGGAGAACTGAATCTTGTCTCAAGTGGCACTTCTGTCTCTTAACTGTCTCCAGTCTGGCGACATCTAGTTTACCTGGGAAGTCTGTCTGGGTGTTAACTCACAAAAAGGAAGAGATCACCCTCATCTGGGTTTTTGTTTATTTTATGCTTCTCATTAAAACAAAACATTTGATTCAGCTACTTTGGCAATTGAGAGCAGAAACCAAAGTGCTGTTTTTAAGATGTAACAAATAGCGGTAGTTTATTTTTATATTTGGGCTAGTGATAGGGAAGTGGCTGAAGGTAAGGCCAGGAGCCTGAAGTAATGGAAAACGTACAGTGGCACTGATGATATTTGCGAGAGAGGGTTTCCTGTGACCAAAGAAAGCCATTGGCTACCGGGGTGAGAGGGACGGAGACTCTCCTGGAGTAATATTGCCATCTTGTGGCTCTTTGAGGCATTGCTATGTGGCGCAAGCGAAGCCCTTCCCAGTTCCTAATCA